TATATATATATATATATATATATATATATTCAATGAGAATAAATGTTGGCAAGGATGTGAAGAAAAGGGAACTCTTACACACTTTTGGTGGGAATGTAAATTGGCACAGCCATTATGGAAAACAGTAGTATGGCAGTTCCTCAAAAAATTAAAAATAGAACCACTATATATTCCAGAAATCCTACTCCTGGATATATATCCAAAGGAAATGAAATCAGTACCTCAAAGAGATATCTGCCTTCCCATGTTCATTGTAGTATTATTCACAACAGCCAGTACTATATGGTAACAACCTAAATGACCTCTGATGGATGAATGGATAAAGAAAATGTGGTGTAGATACAAAATGGAATATTACTCAGCTATAAAAAAAGAAGATCCTGCCATTTGTGACAACATGGATGAAACTGCAGGGCCTTATGCTAAATAAAATGTGAGACAGAAAAAAGATGAATACTGTATGGTATCACTTATATGTGGAATCTAAAAAAAATAATAAAGAAAAGAAAAAGCAAATTTCATAGAAACATAAGGGTGATTGCCAGGGCCTGGGAGCAAGGGGAAATGGGGAAATGTAGGTCAAAGGGTATAAAGTTTCAATTACAAGACAAATAAGTTCTGAGAATCTAATGTACAGTCTGCTGGTGACTAGTAAATAATATTATAGTTAATAGATAATATATTAGCTATAAGAATATAGATAATAATATTGTATACTTGAAAGTTGCTGATGATAGATCTTAAATAATCTCATCACACAAAAAATAGTTAACTACATGAAGTGATGGATATGTTAATTACCTTGATTTTAGTAATCATCCCATGATGTATACGTATATAAATCATCACATTTTACATATACATTTGTCAATTATTCCTCAATAAAACTGGAGGGGGAGTTCTATAATTAATAAAAGAAATGTGACCTTTACTGTCAAGGCGTTTTCTTGAAAAATCGTGATAGGTTTGGAAGTATTTTATAATCTCAGTATTACATTTATCACTTATTCTTAACATACCTGGAGTGAGAAAGTCAATGTAAGGCATACAGGAGACAAAAGTAAGTAGGTCTACTGAAAATATTAAATACCACAGCTTTTAGTTAGCACAATTTATGTTATGAATTTATGGTGCCAAGAATATAATGAGATTATCTGGGGAAATTAACTCAGGTCAAAGAAAACTCTTTAATGATCTACAAGGAAGAGAATATCTCTGCAAGTGTGAAAAGTCCTTAAGTCTAAACCAAATGTTCTAAACCATCAAACTGCAAAATGCTGGAAATGTTGGACCTAAAAGTTATTATTACTCTTCTAAATTGGAAGAATATAAATATGTCAAAGGGATACAAGTGTGTTTGAGTCTCTGAGATAGGATATTAGAATAGAACAGCCCAAGTCACAGATATATGATTCCTGGGCTTGACTTTTCCCAGCTGAAAAGATTAGAGAAGTAGAAAAAAAAAAGAAAAACTCAAGGTTATATTGTTAATAAAACATGGATAAATAATTAGATTTTAGCCCTAAAACTAATGAGTGCTTGACTCACTACTTCCTTCCACAAACTAAGAACTTTACCTTGAGCAGGTAATTTTTAACATTTAAAAAAATATTAAGCAATAATTAAATAATTTCATCTACCAATTTAATAATGAAAATCTTTATTTTCAATATATAAGGGGAAAATTATGCAGCATGTTACAAAAGAAACTAGACTTTATCTTCTAAAATCTTAATATGAAAACATCTTATCTATCCAATACACTAAAATCATAGGAAGAAAACCAGAAAGAGAGTAAGGATTTTTTTAAAAGAATTATACTGGGGGGCTTCCCTGGTGGCTCAGTGGTTGAGAATCCGCTTGCTAATTCAGGGGACACGGGTTTGAGCCCTGGTCTGGGAGGATCCCACATGCCGTGGAGCAACAAGGCCCATGAGCCACAACTACTGAGACTGCGCGTTTGGAGCCTGTGCTCCGCAACAAGAGAGGCCACGATGGTGAGAGGCCCGCGCACCGCGATGAAGAGTGGCCCCCGCTTGCCACAACTAGAGAAAGCCCTCGCACAGAAACGAAGACCCAACAGAGCAAAAATAAATTAATTAATTAATAAACTCCTACCCCCAACATCTTCTTTAAAAAAAAAAATTATACTGAACAGAAGTTGTCTGATTCTAGAAAAAAAAATTTTATCCAATTCCAGTCTCAAATTAAAAAGCAGTAGATTTCAAGATGATACAATTTACCATAAAAAAAAATCTTTTACCCCGACAGCAGTTAAGAAGTGACTGATGTGTCAAATCCTCACCAATCCCCTGCAGCTGAGGCTGATCCTTCACCACCTCGTGATATTTCTCATCTGCTCTGCTAAAACCAAGCCAGTTACCTCTGAGGGCCCTACACCCAAATGATTGGCTTCAAAGTTGGGATATTTCAGGCCATCAATTCCATGCATGCATCTTTTCTCTGTTAATTTTGGTCACTGCTTTTTCCTGAACATAGCCTTTTGAAAAAATGGATCATCACCTAACTACCTTATGCTTTCTTTACATCTTCTGCACAATTAATTGCCTTTCTCCCTACTGCTCTTCTCTTGCAACCCAAATTCATGTCACAGGGCTTTCTGGAATCTCTGTCCATTGTAAACACTCACCATTCCCGTCTGAAAGTGCTTTTTCTACTTCACTATTATGAACAAAGCCTCCTCTCCCACAATGCCACTGCTCTAGTGCAAAGTGTCTCTTCTCCTACCCATCAGCCACCTCAGAGCCTAGAGAGAGCATTGCTTCTCTCCCAGCCCTTCAGTTCTCTTCCATCTCTACGTAATAACTCATTGTGGATTTTTTTGGTGGCTATTATTTATTTTAAATAGAAAGATTTAGTCAATCTGAGCTTCTCCAGATTTTTATATGAAAGAATAGATTTCTGGTTAGTTTGTTCACTTTTTCTTTTTTTTACTTTCTCGAAGTTTATTCAAATTGCTAATTACAAAAAATGATACAAGCTTTGAAAAATACAAAATATGTAAAGTACAAAAGGATATCTTCCCCACTTCAAGTCCCATTCTCCAAAAGTAATCACATTAGAATTCTGGGGTGTTTTCCAGACATTTTCTATACACACGAGTACCTATACACAAAGATTTTATTTAAAATACATACATTGTTCTACAACTTTATTCACCCAACAATGTGTTATTGACATCCATCCACATCTGTAGAAACAGATCCACTTCAATCTTAAGTGGATTCTACAATATGGATTCTACAATATGGCTGCACCATAATTTAACCAGTCTCTATTAATGGACATTAAAATTCTCTCTCCTTTTTTTTTTAATTACCAAAATGCTATGCTAAGTATCCTTGTGCAACCATTGAATAACTCATTGTTTTCTGAGTCTCTTTCTTCCTCCTGGCTGCTATCATCTGCTGACACTGAGCAACTCTTCCTATTCTTTGGAAATTTGCCATTTGACTCAGTCTTGTCTCCACCCCAAGTGCTTTTTTTATTGTGAGTCATCTCAACATCTAGTCATATTATCCAACTACACAATAGCATTATAATTTCTGAACCTCTTAGCTTCAGCCACCTTCAACCTACTCTCTGCTTCAGTCACCGCCTCCCAATGCACATCCTTGTCACCACAGGGAATAGTTCCCTGTTTGGTTTCTTTCAAACAACTCTTCCTCAATCACTATTTCTTTTCCTTTCAGTTTCTCATGCCCTTGTTGACAACATCTTTCTACCACTGAGAAGGGCAAAGGCCCTTGAGGCCTCCATTTCCTTCTAATTTATCAATCCTTTTCTATCTACTTTTCATTCCCTAGAGCCCATGGTTTATCACCAGAATTTCTCTAGCCAGCATTTCTAAGTTCCTAGTACCCAAATTATTCCACTAAAACTAACCAGGCAAAACTCTGACCTTGAAGAATACTACAAACTCATCTTGCCTTTTCCTGTACTTGGATGACCAGGTCTTGCTGGAGAAAAATCACATGACTATATAGCTTAGATCAACCATGAATTCTCATCTCCAACCCCAGCTAGGCCCTTAGCACTTCCTGGCAATCTTGTTACGGCATCCTCTTCAATTATTTATAGTTCATTTATTCTTTATTTTTTTCTCTTTTATTTTTTTAACATCTTTATTGGAGTATAATTGCTTTACAATGGTGTTAGTTTCTGCTATACAGCAAAGTGAATCAGCTATATGTATACATATATCCCCTCATTTATTCTTAATATGGCTAATTCATACTTCTTCCAAGTCTAGATGGAATTTGCTAATCAATCAATTTTTACCACAACCAACGTTATCAAAAATAAAGTTGATATGTTGCTTTTACCAGGTTTCCAGGGGAACAGAGAAAGTTAACCAAATGTCAACTGCTCATACATAAAGCTGAATGGTTTTATTAACGTTTAGCCACACAAAAGTTGCATATTTTATTGATATAGGTCTGCTTCCATGTCTATTTTCCACATTAATCAGTAACTTCTTTGAAGAAAGAACTGAATATTATTTGCATGTATAGCTCTTCATTACGTAGATACTCAATAACTACTGCAGTCTGAATCTATTTGGAGAGCAGTGAAAGAGCTTTCCTAAATACTTTAGAAGCCTAAAATTAATCCATGACTGAAAGTATAGTTTATTTTGAAAATCAGAAAACACTAGTATCAAGAAAATATGAAAATATGGTTTGAATACTATGTTCTAATTAAGGAAGCAATTAAGCATGAGATATGAGTTAGTAGTTTTTTTTAATGTTTTTATATTTGGAAAGTTTTAGCATTTGAATGGGTAATTCAGTTTAAAATACATTAAGTATCTGTGATAGACTGATAATGGCCCCCAAAGATGTTTCCATGTTCTAATGCCTAGGACCTGTGTATACCTTATATGGCTAATAATGTGATTCAGTTAAGGATGTTGAGAGGAAGAACTTCTCCTGTATTATCCAGGTGAGCCCTAAGTGAAATCGTATGTATTTCCTTAGAAAGGTGGATGGAGTTTTGAAACAGATGCACATAGGAGAAGGTGATGTAAAGATGGTGGCAAAGACAAAGTGCTGTGGTTACAAACTAAGGAATGCCAAGGATTTCTGATACACACCAGAAGCTGAAAGAGGTATGGAACAGATTCTCCCCTGGAGTCTCTGGAGGGACCATGGCCCTGCTGACACCTCAATTTCTGATTTCTAGAAACTAAAACTATGAGAGAATAAATTTCATTTTATGCCACCCAGTTTTTGGCAATTTGTTACAGCTCCCACAGGAAATAAATATAATAACACTGTTTTTCAGGCACTAAATGAGTCTCTAAAGATACGAAGATTAAAAAATAAAGGTGGCGAGGGTTGTGTTCCCTGACCACTGTTAGGTCCCAATTTAGTGAGGGAAGCTAACATAGAAATTAAAAATCACCATATGGTATGGCTTCCATACTGGAAACTTACTGTGGCCCTGGAAGCAGAGAGAAGAGATCTAGTAAATTGTTGAGGAGTCATGACCACATGGAACAGCATCTGGGAATCAAAAAGTTAAAAGAGCATGATAGGTCTAGAGAATGGTGAACAAATTAAAGTGGATCATAGGTGGTAGGGGAATTGAAGGGAGATGAAACTGGAATGGTAGATTATAAAGCAATGCATTATTCTTTAGACAATGGGCAGTCACTGAAGGATTTCAATAAGAAACCAACATGCCTTGATTTCTGTTTTAAAAAGATAATTCTGAAGCATTTATGTGGAAAATTCACTTAAGTGGAATAACTCATTCCCCTGACGATGCCCGAAAAATGAAGTGTTACCTAACTAAATTGGTTCCAATAGCAGGCAATGAATTTTCATTTGTTTTGGCAGCATAATCGCAAGGTAGTATGCTTAAATTCAACTGCTAGACAGATCATTAACATTTCTTTACTCAGCCAAACTAGAATTTTTAATACCTCTCATTCCTAAAAGAACAGGTAGATTTAAATAGCCTTAATTTATCTCATGGAGTATTATTTAAAAGTATCGAAATGGATTTTTTAAGGCAAGAATCTGTGAAATATAGTCTCAAAGAAAGGATTTCTTATAGCCTGATTTTCCCCCCTTCTAAATACTGAGTAATTTTCTCCAAAGGCTATTGAGTGGAGAATAAATTCGTTATGTCCTCATGGGTAAGAAATTATTAGCCTAATTGAGTCCCTGACTTATTCCTCCAGAAAAAAAAAATCCCTAAGACAGAAAGCATTGAGAAATTCTTAAGGGATACCAAACGCTGGTCTTAAAAAAATACAGGAAGTAATATAAACAAGCTGCTTCTGTTAAGCAGTGGCCGAGTTGCACCAACAATGATCTTGCAGCTCTCACTGAGGAAGTAAAGAAAAGAAAAACTACTTCCTAAAGTAGCCACAAGTGAGTGAACAGAAGTTAGAGATAAAAATCTACATTTTGTGGGTTTAAAAAATAATGCAGAAATGCCAAAGACACATTTTGAAACTGTTCTGTTCATCCAACTTAGATGTATTTGTTAATTAACAAGCCCACTTTTTAGGACTTTACTGCCCAAGCCAAGCATTGACTGTTGACCAAGAATCACAAAAGCTATAGTCTTGAATTTTCAGCATTAGTACCAGTCCACAATACTATGAGACCATGATCCAAGGTATATTTCAAAGATAAATATTTTTATTTTCAATAATTAAATCAAGCCACAGATCTCTGCTTCCCTTTTATCCTTGATCAATATAGCCCAAAGTAAAGGGACCAGTAAATATCTGAGAGGAGGGACAATGAACATAGACAAATAAGCCTTTTATTGTTGCCTGAAAATTCTATATTTACCAGTTAGTTGCTAACTCTGCATTTCATGTTTTGCTTTGCTGTCCCTAATAGGTCTTTCTTCTTTTTTTTAATTTAATAGACCCTGATTGTACATACGGGAAATTCAGTGAATGGAGAAGATAAAATAAATGTTAATGAATTTATCACTATATTTGCACTAGTCATCAATTCACTTGTAAAATTCATGACTCTCAATGAATGTTTGATTGGAAAAAATAATAGTATTTGAAAAACAATAATTATCTACTGCTCTATTCTACCACACACTACAGACTTGGCAAGAAGCAGAGAAAAGAGTAAACAGTCCTTGATCTCCCAGTCAGTAAATCTAACTTTACTGCTGAATCAAAATTTTACAGCCAAAAGAAAACATTTGTAATACAATAGTAATTCTTTAAAAAAAAGATAATGGTGAAGGTGTTGATAGATTGCATTGGAAACAGGATGTTGGACTTGGAAATCAATGTGACAGAATCACTGTTTCCCAGCAAAGGCCCACATACCATAAAGGTCTAGTTCATTCTAATCTTGATCATACTTCTCCTTAATTTACGTAATTGTGCTAATTCCTCTGAACTTCAGTTGTTCATATTGCTTATTATGTACAAAGCATGGTGAGGGATATCAGGATAGAGACCGTGCAGTATGGGGATAGAGACCGTGCAGTATGGGGGCAGTGGTGAGGATCTCTGGAAACCCTACCCAAGGTTTCAGATCTTGCCTGTGTGTGTGTGCGTGTGTGTGTAAGGCTTTCAATTCTCCCTTGTCCTAAAATCTAAGGAGCTTATACATTTAGAATAACCTTGCAGGAATATCAAATCCACAATTAGATATAGGATTAGAAAATCTTCAGGACCATCAGTTCTCAGGAACTCTATTTCATTCTTCCAGAGTCATAAAAATGATGCTTCTGAGGTAAGTATCTGAGCCAATATTGGACTAAAGGATCTCAAAAGAAGAGCATCCAATTCAACATTGGTTGGATCAGCAAGAGATTTGCAAAATAAATTTGGAACTGCATTTTTTAAGTTAAAGAGATGTTTTCCAGAAAAAGAAGAGTGAATGGAATTCTAGACAGAGGAAAATACATGCTCAAAGGTACAGAAGCATGGAAAGTTCAGGGAACAGAAAGTTCTGCACAGCAGTAGGAGTCTAGAGGTTTGGAAGAAGATGAAATATAAATTGAGCTCCCTGCCACCCACACCAAAAGCTCAATCTTGGATTCTCATCTCTGCTCCCATCCTCTTCCTCAACATACATTCCAATCGCATTCCCCAAATATTTATCCCCAAGTGCTGACCTCTCATCTTGCTGAAACTGTACCTCCAGGCAGCATGTTGTATTATTGTTTTTGGACTTTTTTGGGGTTTGAACTGGACTGTTTTTTTGGATTTTCATCACTGTTTGCTAAATTATTAGTTGTATGACCTGAAGAAAGTTACTTAATCTCTGGGTATGAGTTTCTTCTCATGTAAAATGGGAAAGATAACGTCTCTCTCATAGTATTGTTCTGAAAATTAAATGAGAACAGGCCTCTTGAAAACATATGGCATATAGTTATGACTTCAAAAAAAGTCAGTCCTCCCTTTCCACTAGAAAGCTCTAGAAAGGCATGCCATTGAAAGGCAGATCATCCTGTTGTGAATTCTAGCTTCTCAAACTACTAGCTATATGGCTTTGGGTTTAACTCTCTAATCCTGTTTTCTTTTAATAAAAGATAATAAATCCAATCTCAGAAAGTTGTATCGATTAGATAAATGGCACCTCTTCCACTGCCTTGCAGTTATAGATTCTCCTCCCCTGAATATTCTCTCAGTACCTAAGAGTACGTGCTGATGACTACATAAAGAGTCTCACAGTCCTACTCTTAAGGTTACAGTCTAGTGGGAGGAAAAGAAGGATCCCACGTACCCAGTGCAATACACAGTACATAGTTTTATCTTTATAACAACCTTGGAAATAAAGTAGGTATCAGTATCCACATTTTTATACAAGTCCAGCTGAGTTTCACAGTGGTTAACAACTTGTCCAAGGACACCAAAAAATAGAGGTGGAGTAACCTTCAAATAATGTTTGTGTTTACTTTAGAAAATCAGTTGCCTGCTTCATCAGTCTGCAGCTCTTTCCTATGTAATAGCACTGAACATTTATATATGCTATACTGCACTGCCTCCAGCTTCAGGGATTGCTCATACTTCTTTGAGGAAACTATCTCATTATCTCCTGAACTGCATGGTTTAGCAACATGGCACAGAAATTCAGGCTAATCTATAGTGGAAAATAATTTGTCTAGCTCCTGAAGTCAATTTAGGAGTATATTCAACATACGTATCTTATAATGGTCAGAATAGCCTCTGAAGCAACTTTCAACCCATAAAATGGAATCGGAGCTCTTTCCAGCCTTGAGTTCATCCCATCATTAATATTTCAGGATTTTACTAAACAGTGAGAATTCCAATATTCTAACAAGCCAACAAACTCTTTTGAAACCTTTTAGCAATATTCAAATAACCTACTTTACAAAGGAAACAAGCTTTAATCTTATGTCTGAACAACAACATAAAAAGTAAGTCTATGAATTAACAAGTCTCAGAATGACATACTTAAACATAACTGCAAAACACAGTGCTGTTCTTGGCCATCAAAGTTTAAACAGAAGATTCTACATGCCATGATTACGTTAGAAATGTTGATAAGGGGCATTTTATAGCATTGTTTTTTAGATCGAATAAATTCATAAACATGGTATCAATTGAGAAATGACTAGTCATAAATCTATTTCTGAGCAGTGGGTAATTAAGAGAAACATACGAAATAAGTAGAATTATCCTCTTCATCTTTTTTTTTTTCTGTGAAAGGCCCAAATCTGGTTCCAATCAATGGGAAGATCTTTGCAAACTCTACCTTTGCAAGACTGATTAGAAAATTTTTAAAAATCCCACAAAACAACAACAAAAGTGAAATCTGTTGAATAATATAAGTTTTTCTCCAAATTATTTTTCCAAATTCTCTGCCAAAGCAAACACATGGTACGTGTTAGTCAGCTAGGTCTGCATCAATTCATCAGTTGTATGAACTGCAATGATTTTGTTGCCAAACCTATTACACTAAATCCCACTGTTTTTAAAACCTGACTCCAAACATCCTTTAAGCTTGTAGAACATTCTAAATGTAGCTTAAATGTACACTATTTTTAAATTACTTTTTTTAAGCAAACTTTGGGAATATTCCTCTTGGATAGATCCCACATTATAAATTCTCTTTGTACCTGCTAACAGAAATGTACAATATAAACCTTTGTTCTTTTGGCACAAAGTATAGAGAAAGGGAAAAGCTCATTTTCTCTATTTTTGTTAAGATTTTATTTAAACATTCCCAAAAGTAATAGAAACTGTTAGAATAGTTTGACAAGAAATGTTATCAGATAGTTGGAATTGAGAATTTTAATATACAAATGTGTATTTTATTCTTTCTCCCACAGACTCACGTCACTGAAAAGGTCACTTACTCTATCACAAAACAGAAATTATTTGTGATGATTTTAACCCTCATGTAAAGAACACTGTATTTATTGCTGTCCCTGATCTTCAAAGATAAGGTTGATAATGATGATTACCATCTCCTTGTTTCTGAAGAAAAAAGACCTAGAAGAGAACAATAGCTCTTTCCATGAATAAGCATAAATTTTTATTATAGCAATAAAAAAGTAACTATTTAACTGACATAATGTGAATCTGCTACAATTTTCAAAAGGTTTTATTCTCAGTTTATGCCACATTCTAGTCTTTAATTTTAAATTTTAAATTGAGTAAGTCTGCAATTCACGATACCTAAGATTTATCTACCTAACCTGAATATTATATAATTTAATTTAACATTATATGCCAACATCTCAGTGAGTAAAAAACTCAGAAGAAAACATCCACAAATCTTCACCACTTCATCCCTCAGATACTTGAATCTGTTCCCACCTACTCTTTCTTCCTACTGGTTAAAATGGATGAACTCTTTGTTCATCCCTTGCTCTTAGCAAATGCCAGCTCCTCCATTTGCTTTCTAATCTCATCTACTCTCTCCAACACAAGAACACTGCTTCCACAATACTCACTTCTCTCTCCTACATCATCCGTTTTCTCCCCCATCTGAATTGTTCCATCAACATATAAAAATGTTGTTCTTCTATCTAAAGAAAAGGCCTCTCGCCATCATTACTCATTTCCTCCTTCAGTAAACACTCCATATACTTCTTTCCCTTTAGAGGAAAACTCCTCAGAGGATTGTCTCTGCAAATTCTGTCTTAAATCCACTCTGTTCAAGATTTTCTCCCATTACCCGCTGAAGCTGTTGCTGTTGATAACCTTCATTCCGGTCAATTCAATGGCCACTTCTCAGTTCTTGTATTACTTGATCCCTCAGCAGCTTTCCACACAACTGGTCACACTCACTCTGCTGGTAAACATTTTCTTTGCTTCCAGGTCACTACAATCCCAGTTATCTTCCTTCTTTTTGGCCCTACTTTTTATTCTACTCTGAAGTTTCCTCTTCATCTCTCCAACAACTGCTGAATGTTGAAATACCCAAGGCTCAATCCTTGTATATCTTTTGTGTCCTCACTAATTCCCTTTCATCCAGTCTCTATTATAACTCATGTTTCCCAGTATGGCCTGAACTTCTCCCTTATGCCCTCAGGTCCAACTACACAACATATCTCCACACGGATGTCTAAGAGACATTTCAGTTTACCATATTCAAAACTGACCTCCTCATCTCTATCCTCTCTGCAAACCTGCTCTTCCCATGTCTGTTAAGGGCAACTCCATAACTTGTAGTAGTTCAGAGAAAATGCTTTACAAAGTTTTCTCCCACAATTCACGTTGAAACCACAGCAAATACCATTAGCTCTACCTTCCAGATACATCTAGAATCAACTACTTCCCACTATTTCCCCCATTAGTCACTATTCCAAGGCCCCTGAATTATTGCCACTAGCCTCCTCTGGTTTCTCTGCTTCCACCCTTTCTCCCCTTTAGGTTCTTCTCAACACTGATAAAATATGTCAGATCATGCACAATTCTCAAAATCCTCCAGTAGCCCTTTATCTCACTTAGAGACAAGTCTAAGTAATTGCAACAGCTACAAGTTCCTATGAAGTTTGGCTCCCTGTGCTTTTGTGATCTTATCTTCTACAATCCCATGTATTTACTGTGCTCTAGTCACACTGGCCCCCTTTATGTGGCTTGAATTTGCTAGGCATTCTCCCACTTCAGGGCCTTCATAATTGCTATTTTCTTTCCTGGAATCCTCATTTGCTACGTAACCCCATGGCAAGTTTCCTTCAGCTCCTCCCAGTTTTAACTCATATATTATCTTCTCAGAGTGTTCTTCCCTGAGCATCCTATTTAAAATTGCAATAGTCCCCCGGAACACCCTCTGTCCCCTTCCCTTGGTTTATTTCTCTTTAGCATCATTATAATTTAACATACTGCATAATTTACTTAGTTTAGTTTCATTTCTGTCTCCCACACTTCACTTTGCAAGTTCCAAGAGGGCGAGTTTTTCAGTGTTATTTACTCCTATCGACTTGATGCCCAGAGAGTTGTTTCAAATATTACAGGGATTCAATAAATATTTGTGAAATGATTATATAAGTAAGGAGTAGAGTCCATGGCGATTAAAAGCACAGATTTCAGTGTTAGGAAGACCTGGATATGAATTCCTGCTCTGCCTCTTACTAAGTAACTTACCTTGAACAAGTAATTTTTCTTAGCCCCAGTTTACTCATTATAAAATGGATATAATGATACTTAGCACTCAAAATTATTTTTATAAGCTGGAAAGGAAATAATAAAATTTAAGCAAAAAAAAAGAGAAAACATCACTTTTGCAGTGATTCATTATCACTATCAATAATGAGTAATAAAATGAGATTGTCCAAATATATATGATAAATTGTAATTGCTTTAATTGGCCACTAAGTTAATTATTTTAATCATTTCAAATTTACTCAAAAATTATTTTTTACTTTATAGTGCCATTTGATACTCATTAAAAGATGATTAAGAAAATTACAGTACATTTCTCACAAGTTTTGAATTATAAAATGTAGTTTTATAAATAAAATAGTTTTTTAGATATACTTTCCATAAAGAGTTGCATGTTCAATTTTAAAATGTAATTATAGTATTCAACAAAGACATTTTAAAATAATAAATTTAGATGTTAATCATTTTGGTTAGCTCCAAACTTACAATGAGCTTTATTTTATTTATTTATTTTTTTTGCAGTATGTGGGCCTCTCACTGTTGTGGCCTCTCCCGTTGTGGAGCACAGGCTCTGGACGCGCAGGCTCAGCAGCCATGGCTCACGGGCCCAGCCGCTCCGCAGCATGTGGGATCTTCCTGGACTGGGGCACGAACCCGTGTCCCCTGCATCGGCAGGCAGACTCTCAACCACTGCACCACCAGGGAAGCCCACAATGAGCTTTATTTTAAAGTTGGTCCTCATTTTGTCTGATGGTCCAAGGCTGTTGATCTTACAGCAGAAATTTCTCCCACCATTCTACTTACCCATAGGATTTTCCCACCAACCTACCTTCATTTTCATTGTAAAGAGACTGCACTTAACAAAACCCAATATTGGCTCTGTTCCCAGATACATGGATTTCTACTTTTCTTAAATTTCTCTGTCTCCTTACCTCCCAGTATTCACAATGACTATCACCAACTTAAGCTCCAGGAAAATCAAATACAACTCTATTCCACAAAAACACTGAGGCCCCTTGATCTGGTCTACTCCTCTTATTAGATAATTGGAAAAGTGAAGCACAAGACATATCAAGTGGTTCAAGTTCACAAAGCTAGTCTATGAAAAAGTTGGACCTTGAATCCATTTTGCCAAATAGCCAACCACCTGTTTTGTTTGGAGATTTTTTTTTTTTTACTTTACTATATAGCCTCAACTATCTTCTCAGCTTTACTCTAAAGCCAAACATCTTAACTGTTATCTTAACACATATATGTATGGTTCTAACAAACATTTTACTGTTGTTGAATAATGTGACTGGAACATTCCATGTGCGACTGAATATTGTTTTCTGGCTATCTATCTTATAGTTTTAAGTTATTGGTATGGAAAAAGCCTGGGAAATGTAAATACTCTTCAGTTATTAAGCATTTTAACTTACATTTTAAATTGTAATGTAAAAATAAGTTGGATGTCCAACAATTAGTTGTTTGAACTTTTTAATAATTATTATTTTTATGGGGTATCTTATATTTGCCAACCAATGTTCTAAGAACAAAAATACATGCTCTGGGCCAGATCCCAACAGAACATGAACTTGAATGGAGGTCTAACTCCAGCCCTTTCCATTTGCTGCAGTAATACTTAACTTGTTTACTTACCAGGAAGAACATTGTCTACTTTCTATGTGAAGAAGGATTTTAAAATGCAATCAAATATATGCATTTCTCTCTTCCCTTTGTTCCTTAAAATACTGAACTCATAGCTCACCTCTAAACAAACTTTTTCCAAGATTTCTGGTTCAGATTATGTTAGATGGTCTCACAATTTGAAAGAGATGTCTTTTTAAAAAAATACTATTGTAACTTTTATCCTAAAGTACATGATATTTGTGTCTAATTTTGACTCCAAGCAAAGCAGTTTGTTCCTAAGTAATGCTGCCAGCTATGTAAACTGTTAACTAGACATCAGAGGATCTGTGTATTCAGCAATAGTACCTTTGTGGAAGAGAAAGTAACCTTCCATCTCTTTTTGCACCAATACTGGTACAGTAAATATATTAAAATTGGCTGGTGTTGGTCTCTATTTCAAATAAAGTTTGTTATGCAGAAATGACTAGGTGGACATTATAAACAGCAATCATATCTTTCTGATTCTCTATTATAGTATGCAACTAAATAATATCATTATTAGGTAATCCTCTGAGAGCAACACCAAAAGTTTTTTTAAAGTTTGCATATTTAAAATATTAATGGAAACTTTAATATCCTTATGGGAAAAATAACTCAGAAATGTAAATTTTAGTCACTGAGGAAGACCTTTCAGTGAGCACGCAGCTCTTAACTCCAAACGGAATGTGATACTTAATGCATTAGTATATATCTGCTTAGGCAACATTGGAATAGATAAAAATAATCACAGGAGAATCTTAATAATGAAAAATAATGTCTTACTAGCTTAAATTTCTGAAATCCACCCCTCCTGTCTATGTCAGAAATGTTCTACATGCTTTTGGCTCACAGTTTAGGGTTACATATACGGAGAGTTCTGAGTTGTTCGGAATCTACCAGGAGTCATGAATTGATTTTGTCTTCACTTCTATCTTACCAACTGTGTAAAATGATTTTTTCCATCATATTTTAAGAACTTTATGGTTTCTTTGATAATAATTCAATAGCATTCCTCTTGTTAAACCACCTTGATTCAATTTTAATATTTTAATGCAAAACAAGATTTTTATCTCTTAATGAATTAATCATTTTTATCTCATGATTAATAGCATAATCAATGCTATTTATACAATGGCTGAGATTAAATGTCCACAGTATGTTTATAGTCAGAGAGCATTTTGAGAAGAGAGTAAAGCAGGAAATGATACTAACTCATAGCAGTAGTAATGGCTAACAGAAGTTCATACTGTGTACCAGGCAGTACACTTCATGTTTTTAATGTTTTAGTTAATGCAATCTGTTTAGGAATATTATGAAGTACATGCCTCATTGTATCCATTTTGGAGATGGAGAAACTCAAATACAGAGAGGTTAAAGAACTGGCCCAAGTGGTAGAGAGACAATTAGAACCCAGGCAGTTGAAAACCAAAGACTGTTCTCTTAACTACCATGCTCTACTGCCTCTGGGGTCTTTGGAAAGAACATGAAACACAGATTCTTCTAAAATAGGAGAGAAGAAACTAATGGGTGATATCATAAGTGTGTACAGAAGTGGAGGGGAGAGAAGTTAAGTACTCACTTGATAACTTGCATTTTCTCTGTAAAGTATAAGGCAATATCATCTGTGGATGATTAGGTATTTGGATGTAGGGCAGAAAGTTTAAGGACCATAGTACACTCTTAGAGACACCAAACCAGGCAGCTTAAGTACAATTGTGACCATTAATTAGCAAGCTATTCCCCAAATCACCTTCCCTACATTACCTTAAATCCTTACAGAAAACTTTACAAGGTAAGAATTAAATGGAAACTGAGGATCAAAGAGGTTAATAGTTTGTTCAAGATCGCTCAGATAGTAAGTGCTGAAGTTGGGTTATGAATCCAGGTCTGTCACCAATATCCATGCTCTTCCACTCTGCCACACTGCCTCAGAAAATAATGGAAAAGGGGACCACTGAAGGCAAGTAGAAGTAATATTGAGAAGTATTAAGGGCACAGCTTAGAATGAAAGTCATAAACTGTTGTATAACATCAATATGCATATGTAAGCAATGTTCCACACCAACTCGGGTAGTTTTTGAACCCAAATTAGTAACAGATGTAACTGCTTTCAATTGTGGCAGGAAAATAACTGGTTAGGTGAGGATAGTGAAAGCACAAGGAGTAGAAGAAAAAAGTAGAGCCAGGAAAGAGCTGTTTAATTGAGAGAAAGTGGAGATGTTGTGGCCATGAGGACAAATGTCAGGTTGAGAAGAAGAAACAACAGGAGACAAATGGAAGCAGAACAGTTATTGAAGAGAGAGTGAGATCTCTGAATCTAAGATATTTGCAAATGGAGGAGTTCAATAAGGTTTGACTGGAAGCAGAGATTTGCAAATTCTTAAGCAACCATTTAATGATTTTCACGCTTTTGTGCATACCTAGAGACTGTGACTTGCTTACTTTAGTTAATTCTAGTGCCACTCCTAAGACTTCATGAAAGATTATTTCAGTTTTTATAAGTTAATATCTGTCTTAGTACTCCACTCAAGTTAAGAGCCTTATAGAATGATCGTTTGCTCTCCTTGAGTACTGATGTTTCAAACTATGAAATTTTTTAAAATTCCAACTTTTTGATGTTTTAGAACTTTATTAAAAGTGGGCAGTTCTTCATCTGCATTTGAACTTCTATCAAATATACTGAGTTTCCATTCAGTGGCTACAAAGTGCAAAGTGAAGGCAGTCAATCACCCTATTTGGTTGGATCAACCATCATCACTGGACTTGGACAGTGTAGACCACAAACAATAAGTTTCTACTGCTAGAACTTGGCTGACAACACAGCTTCTGGTAAAAAATAATAATTCAAGATTACAAGTATCATATTACAAATAATCATTTTTAACCCCATAATCCAAGTTGTTGCATCCAAGCAACTTCTTTGAGAACATCGTTCTAATACCTATCTCAATTTACCAACAAATTAATGTGCAAAATTTATTCTAGTTAACTGTAACTGCCAATGAAATAGAGACACAGGTGTAGAGAACCAACGTATGGACACCAAGGGGGGAAAGTAGGGGGTGGGGAGGTGTGATGAACTAGGAGATTGGGATTGACATATATACACTAATATGTATAAAATAGATAACTAATAAGAACCTGCCATATAGCACAGGGAACTCCACTTCGCTGTACAGTAAAAACGAACACAACATTGTAAAACAACTATACCCCAATTAAAACAGAAAAAAACCCTGTAACTGACAAGACCTAAACAGTTACTCACTTGAAAATTCGGTCCTGACCACTTAAGGTCTCTGAAGCAATAGAAGATCTTGACATTACTGCTTGATTGACCTCCTGATCAGTTTACAGAGAACAACCTGTCTTGATTTGACTCAAAAAACATAAGTACAGGGGCATAGCAGTTCCTTGTGGGCTTAAACTAAAACAAATCACTAGCAGGATTTTCCATTGAGTGTGTATTTTTAAATGATTGTCTAAAATGATGTATCTATTCCAGCAAATGGTATGTCATATAAGGAAATTTCATTAATGATTATCAGAAATGCACTCCCGTACAATGAGACAATGGTTCTATACCCTAGCTCCACTGTAAGAGACAAACTTTTATACTGAAAAATATTTTAAGAGCTGTAGTTTTTCCTCATCTCCTTTCCTCTACAAGCATAATAAGCAGTAAAACTTGGTGAAGGCTAAAATAGGTGTCCCAGGCTTTACGTTCCATATCCCTGAGTATACCAGATAATCTTCTAACACTGATTTTGTAATGTTCTGCCTTGCCTGGTTTTTAAATATTATGAAGAAATATGTTACTACTACTCTTCTTGGAAGATTAATTCTCCTTCAATCC